CAGAGCATTTCTTGCTGATTGGCTGTTGGGATTTAACTTGATTAACACCTGCACAGAGTATTTCCATACTGACAGTATGTCTTTATTCAAGTGTTTTGGTAGGTATTTCAAGCTTTTCTGCTCCAGCATTGGAATGCGGGGCATGAACGTTTTTTTTATTTTGAAAATCAACAGTTTGCATTATGCAATTAAAAATCCTAACCAATAAAGTAGGGAATAGCTATCCAACTGTTGTTTTAGTTGTATGTTACTTCATATTATAGTTATATCAATGTAAATCATTGTTTTCCCTTGTGTTTCTCATTCTTTCCCTGCCATGCCGTAAAATGTGGTGAACCCATCGCTGTATTTGCTCCAAAGCAAATATTGGCCTTTCTAGTTGTTACAGTTTTCCCATCTATCAATGCAGTGGTTTGATTAAAGTTCAAAATTCAATGTTTAAATTTTAACCCAGCCTTTTGTGTTGACTTCATGGCTCATTCCGTAGCATTTAAGCCTATAATAGGATGCCTAAGACCTGTTTTTATTATGGGTTCACCACACCACGAAGTGGTGTGGGTGAAAACCATATTGCTTTTTCTGATGTTTCTTCTCCTTCTCCTCCTCCTCCTGCCATATCTTTAAATGGATTCAGCTTCTTCATTTTAGGGCCTAAGGTCCTGAAATTTGGTATGGAGGTACAGTGGGCAAATACCCCTAGGCGTTTTTAAATTTTTGTGATACAGGCTTTTAGAATGGTTTTATTTGAGTTTTTTGGCTGTATTATAGCTAATGTATTACTGTGTTAGTGTGCCATGTTTACCACGTCTGGGCGTGAGTCATCACAATGGAATGCAGGGCATCAACCAATAGGCATGCAGCTTTCCTCTATACTTCTTGCTGATTGGCTGTTGGAATTTAACTTGATTAACACCTGCACACTGAGCATTTCCACCTGCACAGAGCATTTCTTGCTGATTGGCTGTTGGGATTTAACTTGATTAACACCTGCACAGAGTATTTCCATACTGACAGTATGTCTTTATTCAAGTGTTTTGGTAGGTATTTCAAGCTTTTCTGCTCCAGCATTGGAATGCGGGGCATGAACGTTTTTTTTTTCATTTTGAAAATCAACAGTTTGCATTATGCAATTAAAAATCCTAACCAATAAAGTAGGGAATAGCTATCCAACTGTTGTTTTAGTTGTATGTTACTTCATATTATAGTTATATCAATGTAAATCATTGTTTTCCCTTGTGTTTCTCATTCTTTCCCTGCCATGTGGTAAAATGTGGTGAACCCATCGCTGTATTTGCTCCAAAGCAAATATTGGCCTTTC